GGCCGCGCGCAGAGCGCACAGCCGAGCGGGGCAGCGCAGGGCCCGGACGCCCAGGCGGGCGCCTCAGTGTCCCCAGCGGGATCACTTGGAGATGCTGTCTTGATTACTTTTCTCTCTTTGCTGGGACAAAATACCCGACATCCAAACTTCAGGAAGGTTTGTTTATTTAGCTCACAGTTGCTCCAAGGCCTGGTGTCGTGGCAGGGGGCAGCAGTCCAAGGCGGCAGAAGACAGCAAAGGCAGCTAGAGCAGGGCGAGGGGGCTCTTTCCCTCCCTTATACTGTAAGCTCCCCTAACCCCCAGGGCAGGTGAAGCGCCCACAGTCTCCTGCCCTCCTCTGCGCAGGCTCAGGCTGTGGACAAAGTGAGGACCCCGGCCTCCCCCTCCCCACGCTGAGTCACTTGGCTAAACTTCTGCACCTCCCAAATGACACGCTCTATCAACTCCTGCCCGTGCACCAGCTCACGCCTCCTGTCCTAAGGGATGCAGACCCTCGTGGCCCTGCAGACTCCAGGACCTTCCGGCCTTCGGCCTTCGCGAGGCCCTGTCCCCTGCAGCTTTGGTGACCTGCTCTCTCCCCTGGGGCAGGCACAGCGATGCGATTTCACAGCGGCTTTCACACTGTGCCCTACTAGAGCTACGCTGGCAGATTTGTCTCCAGTTCTTTAGGGAGCAGTACGGACATATATGTATTACTCAGGTTAACAGTCTGCAAACTGTACCTTCATCCTACGAATTTACTAGAGATGTATGCAAAGATACTGCTGTCTGGCCAATCATACATATACAATTTTATTTTTGAGACCTAAAATAGAACTCTCTCGCTCAGGCTAGGTTCCAACCCAGCTGAAGTGCACCTTTTGCTTCAGCCTCGCAGAGTGCAGAAATTCAGGTAGCGCTGCAGCCCGCGTGCCCACCCAGGAAACAGAATCCTGTTCAGAAAAAGCATTTTCCAGGCAGGGCCAGCACTCATGGCTTCTCTGATGAAATGTCACCTCTCCAGTACTCCCAGGACTCACGCAAGGCCTCGCCAGGTCCTCCCAGCCATTTCACAAAATCATCGCGAGCGACCGCAGTGCCCTAACGCGACCCAGAGGACACCTGAGGCCCTGGGTACTTGGAACCCTCCTTGGGTCCTCAGTTGACAATGGCAGCTCTGCTGTGGTCCCAGGATGCCGCTTCTCCGCCTCTCCCACCACCCACGGTGGGCACAGCTGTGCAGTCCTGCAAGGGCAACAATCAGAGCGACACAGAAAAGTCCCCAATAATTTGCAGGGTGTGGTGTCTGCAGGGGTGAGCAAGCCCCGCGACCGCCGTGGAGTCTCGAGGGCGCCATCCCGCCACCTAGCGCCACTGGGAGGAAGCACATACAGTGTGCCAGGCCCCACAGGAGGGACCAGGGGAAGCCACTGCACTCTGCAGGCCAAGTCTTAACTTGCTTTCCTTAAAGCAGCTTAGGCGTTGGCTAGGAAGTGCGCCCAGGTAGAAAATATCTAGAATATTCAACACACGAATGACCTGTTTTGAAACTGTCTGTATCCCAGCATTTAGCTCTACCCCTTAGGTGTTACAGCACACGGGAGTGTGTTACAGGGCAGTTAAGATTCCTCGCCAGTTCTTTTCCCCTTGCTGATACAAGGTCTACTTTCTTCGGTTCACATTCACCTCAGGCCTTCTGGAATCTGGGGTGGGACATGGGAAGCCACGTCTCTCTCTGAACTAACAGTTGTGCTTTCAGGGGGCACAGTGGAGTCGGGTAACTTTGGGTTGTTCGTCTTCATCTGAGTAGACAGTTTCCTTAGCTATTCCTCCCTGGAAAAAGTTTAAACACCCCTCACTATCCATGGTCAGGCACAAGCCATGGCATGGCTAGGAACAAGGAGGAGAACCACTGGAAAGGCCTCTTCCAGGACAGAAGAGCTAGGACCTCCCAGAGACACAGCTCTGGAGGGCGTTCCACCTCACACGCTCAGGAGGGCACCCATGCACACTGGCACGCCCACGTGTGTCTGCTTCCTCAGGATTATTCCCTTCAGGAAGTCATGTTCTAGTAAGCAGAACACAGCGAAATGTCATTTTCCTACAATTTTGTCTGGTCACATTTAGATTGGGAAATGAGTTGGCCCCCAGTACATTAATACACACGGAAATGCCTATTTTGATCCAGGCTCAGCACCAACTCCCAGCTCGGTGACAGGCTTCTAAGTTAAGTGCAAGCACCTCGATTGCCACAGAGGAAAGTGACCCTTGTGCTCATAGCAGGGGGATGCAGCGTCTTCCCTTAATTCCCATTTTGTGTACTCAAATTCTTATCACTTTTTAATCAAGAGTCTTGGGTAGCTTAGCCAACACCTTAAACTCAGGCCATAGGACCTCAGAACTCTGGGGATGTCCTCTGCCTCATCAAAACCAAAAGCCAACAAAATGGGCTTTACACTCAAAGGACTCAGTGTGATTGATCAAAGAAATATAATTTGATTTACGGCATTGATACTGCTTTATTACAGGCCATATTGTACAGTGGGTCTCGGAAGGAGGAAAGCTTGCCATGGAATTGAAATGGGTTTGGTCAATGAAAAAATCCAATGAAAACACATTTCTCAAATATCCAATTTTATTTTATCACTGTTGAACACAATCTGCAGTTGGGATCAGAATTCCCAGTCTGATATTTTTTAAACAATACCACAGGGGTAAACCTTAAAAGAAGTGAAATCTAACATTATATAGATTTTCATTTCTAAATACATTATATTACAGAAGGTTAAATATACCACCTCTGTGTACTTACACCTATAAAAGACGAATTCGCTCTACCAATTATAAATAATGTAGCATTTCATATTAAAGACATTATTGTACAGTGAAAGAATAGGGACCCTCTACAGTACTACAATGGAGGTTAGTGTCTATAGCTTCTTGGGATACCGAAATTCAGTGTACGAAATCAAATTCTGTTGAACAAGTTATTATTAGGAGTGTAAGTAATATGTGTTCACTAGTGGTGACAAGAAAGTGAATTGTATATGTCACGTCTGACAAGGGTGATGGCATACACACCTAACTCTCCTTGCATACACACTTGTTCTGACATAGACCTTTATGCTGTTATTGCCCTCCAACTCAGCTTTCAAGCTTGCACACCATTTATCCAGGAATGGACGGGTTTAGCAAAAGTAACTGAGTAACACAACTGAAATTTGGTTTTCCTTTTAAAGCTATCTGGGAATAAGCTCAGTTTTCCAAGTTAAAATACGCAATTGCACATCATTTTGGATACACAAAAGAGAAAAAGAATATTTCCTAACATGCTAGTGAAATACCCAGGTCACTTGGGTGTGGATCTAGTTTCTCCATGGAATCTGGAAATTATTTGTTAACTAATAATAATAAAGTAGGACTTTTTTTTTTTTAAAAAAAGGGGTGAATTGAAACAGCAGTCTTCCCAGGTATGTACATTTTACTAATCTGAATGGACCATGGTCCTGGAGAAAAGGACAAGGATGGAGGCTTATTGTAAACCATTATTCAACCTGATAAAATACATCACTTAAAAAAGTGAATCATGGTACTGATTTTCCAAATGCAGCGCTAGCTATCTTTGGATTGGTGGTGTTGTTGTTTTACCAGAACAGTTGGTCCTCAGCAGCTGTGGTGATACTAACAGTCTCGTGCCTTAGAAAGTACCTTGAGTAATATGGGCCATCACAGTTTTAGAGTAAGCTCTTTGGGACATCAATTTGGTCACAGTGCAAAGGCAGTACTAGTCTCAAAGTGAGACCCATAGTCAATGTCAACATGTTATGTCCTCCTCCAAAACCCACACTTGTGCATGCCCAAGGCTTCTGATGCCCTTGCCCAATACGTGCACCCCCAAATCTCCCCATGTCACATCCTCAAAATCCTTTTCTTTCATTTTAATTTAGTACTAATCTTGTCCTTTGGAATCATCCCCCCATCCTCAGAACAAAGAGGAACTGTGTGCACATGTGACCATAGGAGACGGCGAGTACAGGGACTGTGGGTCACACAGGGGGCGTGTTCCAAATTCTCACCGCAGTTGGATTCAGCAGAGCATCCTGAAGCCACTGCTGGACACTTCAATAGCATTTCTTGCTAACAGAGCCCTGAGTATCTTCACTGTCTCTCTCACCAGGTCTAAAGGCAAAATCAGAAATGGCCCATGGCTCCCTCCCAGGTGAAGCTGCAGTTTCACATGCAACATACGAGCGTCCAGAGTTAGGTCAATAAAACAGCAGTGTGAGATGAAAATAAAAACCCTTTGGCTCTAGTAGACTGAAAGTAGCTGGAAGAGAGTGTCCCAGGAAGGTCAGTACTGTAGTTATTCCCTCCAGCAAGTTTGATCTGCCAAGGGAGCCGTCTGTGTTCAAGGGAAGAGCGCCTTTGCTTCAGGGGCTTTTGTCCTCAAGCTTGATGGTGACAGTTTTCACTTCTGTGTATTCAGCCAGGGCATATTCGCCTCTGTGAGGACAGAGAAGAGGAAAATTGAGACTGAGCATGTCCACTTACAGCGCTGGGGACACTCTTCTGGTGCCTGCTGATTCTTTGGGGTTTGGAGTTTATGGAAAAGGGAAAAATGTGACGCCCTTCTAGAGGAACAGCCAGGGTTGAGATGTCATTAGTAATTTTATGTAAATGAAAGGTAAGTTTAAATATCAAGTTTTTGGTGTGTGACAATTTTGAATAATTGACTAAGAGCGTCAGCTCCAAACTTGATAGAAATGCAGATGGCCAGGGCTTACCCAGACCTATGTGGCATCAAAGGGTCCATGTCTCACTGCCCTGAACCTGTCAATTAAGGTTCTGGGTGGAATTTAAGTGACTCATCAGTTGCTCTTAAAATTTCAAGATTATCCTGGATCCCCAGTTCGTTTGTTTATTCTTTCTTTCTTTTCTTTTTCTTTTTTTTTTCTTTTTTGTATTTTACGGAACGGTCTACAGGATGTTCAGGGTCTCACTACTAGATCAGACTGGTAGTGATCTGCCTGTTTACAGCCTCCCAAGAGCTGGGATTATAGTCGCATGTCACCATGCCCAGTCTTAATTGCTGTCTCAGCACGCCACAGGGGGTGAGGCCAGCACAGCAGGCCCAGGGCTCGAACCCCCAGCTCTGTGCTTGCCTGCAGGTACTTTAATCCACTGAGCTATTTGTTCTCCCCCCCACCCCCCGTGTCTTAAAAGTAGAAAAAGAAGACTGGGCTTGGTGATGCACGCCTGTAATCCCAGTGCTTGGGAGGCTGAAAACAGGAGGGTCACTATGAGTCCGTTCTGTGTAGTGAGACCTTGTGGACTCTGTACATGCATTAAAAAAAATAAAAGTAGAAAAAGAAGGCAGCAGAGTTTGAATAGAATGAGATTCCGGAGATATTCCACAGTGCCAGTCATGCAGATAGAGAAAGGTCGTCAGCCACAGAATGAGCTGCAGAAGCCACAGAGAACCTTCTTCTGCACCCACCTCCCCAGCAGAGTGTGGTCCTGCCAACGGTCTCCATCTTAGCTCAGGAGACCCCGGTCAGAACTTATCCTACAGCACTACGGTATATGCATTTTGTGTAGCCCACTAATTTTGTGGCAATTTGGCACAGTGGAAAAGGCACATGCTCAGCGGATCCAAAACCTCAGGTGACTCTGATGCCTGTTCCAGTTGGAGATACCATTAGGGCAGCGCTGTGTAGGGTTGTCAAGGCGGACACCTTCCCCCAGCCTCATGGGAGATGTGGGACAGTCACCCCCTCCTCGTGGTTCTACCAATTAAAGATAATTCACATGGAACACCTGCCATGTGCAAAGCCAAAATGAGTGGTGGAAAGCAATATCCTTATTTTATTAATAATGTGTCGCTGAGGCATTTGGGTGGTTTCCTAAAACCACCTACGGACAGTTTAAGAGCCCATGATAATAATGAGAAAATCATTTTGTAATCTTTTCTAGACATAACACAAAACAGCAAAGCCACAAGCAGAATACTAAATTCAACTTTTGTAGAACAGATAATCCATTAAAAAAAAACTCCAAGGGACAAGCTGAAAATAATTCACAACCCTGTGAGATTGCAGTGTAGTGTACAAAGAGTTCTCAAAACCAACAGGGAGAGCGCAAGCGGCCAGATGGAAGGTTAACAAAGGGGCAGAGTCAGTGTGCAGAAAAAAGAAGTGCGAATTCCAGTCAGTGTAAAAGGGGTGCTCAGTCTCTTAGAACTAGTGACCCGTAAAGCAAAAACAGTGGTGAGCCTACTTTTCATGGGGTAGTTTGTTCAATTTTTAGAATTCATTCTGAAAATAGCCTCCTACAAATACACAAAGATTTATACAGGAAAGTATAACAGAAAAGTATACCACCATGGAAAGTGTACAGCATGGCTCAAAATAGCAAAACTACTTGAAAGGAACAACCTTGGATTATAAGAGGGTACTGCTAAAATGGAGAGAATATCCAAAACTCATTCTTACGTGAAAGAGTCCATTTTGATTTAACTAAAAATCAGAAAAGAACACACTTGTCTACACCTATTGTATGCAGAGAAAATGCAAAAAAGTTTCAAAAGTAAATAAATGTTACATTATAAAAACTCAAGGTTGCTAATGACCAACTTAATAAAAGTAGCAAAGTGAATAGTGAAACCCTATTGAATTAGTGTAGGACTAGTAAGATCAGAATTAAAATCACTCTTGTAAGAGTAACTCTAGGGTTACCCTTCTTTCTATTTCCATAGTTGCCTTAGTTCAAGTTCTCTCTGTTCCTATGCAACCAGTGCAGTATCTCCTAGCCGGGTTCTTGTGCCATCTCCTCTCTCCTTGGCACTGAAGGCCAACTAACAGCCCAACCTCTCTCCCAATAAATCTTGTCAAACCATCAGGGGAGCTGGGTGTGGCGGTACATGCCTGTCATACTGCAATGCTGGGACTGGGACACAGGAACATCACAAATTGAAGTCTAGCCTGGGCAACTCAGCAAGACCCTGCCTTAAAAAAAAAAAAAAAAGTCTGGAGATGTAGCTCAGTACACAAGCCCTGGATTCTAGCCCTAGTACTGGGGGATATAAAGAATACAGAGGAGAGACGGACTGTCAACTGTGCTGTGTGTTCTAAGCCTAATCACACCTACAGCATCAGGGATGCCCAATAAATATTTACCAAGTAAATGAAGAGATGAATGAAAAGTGAATGAATATTGGTTACCTCTAGCAAATGGGACTGAAGGTCAGAGAAGGCCTTGACCTTCCACACATTTCTACAGTGTGGATATACTGGTTGCTGTCCTTTAGTACAAAGCAAAACAGAAAACTAGGAAGAAAAGCACCCAGGAGGAAGAGAGGCTGGGCCCAGAAACAGGCCCAGAAGGGAGGGTCACGGGTAGGAGGCCCAGGGGCGGGGAAATCCATGGAATTCACCTAGTGATGCTCCGGTAGCCCAAAGGGGAACTTCTTACAACATGAAGACAACAGTCTGAGACAAAAGAAAGTGGAAATTGGTTTTTAAGACAGTTTCCTTATGAACTATTTTATAATGCTTTATAAAAAGTCTTGAGAAAATATATGCCAAAGTTCCAAAAAACAGACATTCCAAAAAGTCCCCTGCTGGCAAACCAGCAACCGGCTCTGAGCCAGTCAAGGGGATGCTGAGGGCCGCAGACACTGCGGGGGGGGTGGAAAGGGGGCTGGGTGAGGAAAGCCACCCGCGAGTCGTCAGTGGGAGTGCGTGCAAGGCAGGAGTCAGGAGACTGCCCTCCCCCGACGCCTTCCCGCAGCTTCTGCACCCAGACATTCGCTTTGGGGCCCGGGATCCGCCTTCATGCCTGGCCTCTGGATGAGGACCATGTGCGTCTGGGTTCCCTGGACCTGGTGACCTCACTGACTGAAGGCGGCAGATCTGAGGAAACGAAGGACCACACAGGCGCTGGCAGCTTCATTCTGTTACGGACAGCTAAGTTAGGTAGAATGTTCTAGGCAGTGAGAGCGCTGGGGCCTCCAGGGAGTCAAACAAAGATGAAACCCCACTCCAGACACAGCAACCAGAAGTGGGCCTCAAGATACAGTGACAGAACCAGGGGCTAGGGATTTGGCTCAGCGGTAGAATGCTTGCCTAGCAAGCTGGAAGCCCTGGGTTCGGTCCTTGGCACCAAAAACAAACAACAAACCTCCCCTAAAAAACAATTCAAGCAAAAAAAAAAAAATATTACAGTAAAAACAACGAAAGGACCACATCTACATACTCCTCAAGAAGTGAGATAAGTGACAACACCGGATCTAGAGAGGCATGCCTCCCCCCAGGGGGCAACCAAGACTTGAGACTCCTCACCTAACTGAGCAGTTCTCTGATCTTTCCACACTTGCTCACTGTCTCACTGGCTTCTCCATTGAATCCGTATAACCAAGTGGCTACACTGGCAATCTTATTGGCTGATCACAGCTCTAACCCACACCACTGTTCCCGTGTGGCTTTTGCTCTATAAAATTTCCCTATAGAGTGGGGTCCCTGGGCTACCGATTTGGGACCCCTCCTGCCCCTCTGACAGGAGCATTCTATGCCTTCAGTAAATACCTTCCTACTCTTAACCTCCATTGTTCCTAGAATTCCTTCCTCAATTTTTAGAGAACATGAACTTGTCAGATCAGACATCTAACAGGTAGGGAGTTATATGTCCCTTATTTCATACGTGGAGATTTTGATATCATCCCTGTAATGATTCCAGGTGACTTATAAAAGTGGCCTCTGTTTAGCAAGGCTCTGTGCTGTTGGAGGGCGGGGATGGGGTCCAAGGACGAGGCTGCCATGGCTCATTTCCAGCTATTGGTCACAAGCTCCCTAGGCTGTGTGCTCATTGGCGAGTAGTAGCTGCCCCTCAAAGACTGTCACAAGAAGGACGGGAGCTAACATGCAGAGGCTTTCACAGAGCCTGCTGGTGTCTGGGCTCAGCAAGTGCTGCGGGAGGAGGACCCTGGAGGACAGGCAGGGCTAAGAGGTAATGGAGCTGAGGCTCAGAGGATGCAGACACAAATGCGCACAGGCCACCAGGGGGAGGAAAGAGGCTTCCGCAGAGCCTTCAAGGCCACACATTTACCCACGTTCCCAGAAAGGGAAATCAGTCATAGGAGTGAAGAGGAGGCCAACAGACGCCAGTCACTGTGAGGTGCAGAGGGCTCTGGGGCATGTCGGGGTGGACTACAAAGAAGGGTGAGGAGGTGTGTGCAGCCTGCACCACGCAGCCTGGCCAAGAGCAGCCACTTGGGGGCAGGGCCTACCTCTCTTCCTTCACAACATCTTTAAGACTGTAAGGGGAGCCACCAAAGTTTCCAGCAAGGCCTACCTGAGGGGCAGCGTTTCGTCGGTACCTGCTAGAAGATGTGCAAACAAGTACAAGGTAGAGTGTCTGTGTACCCATGACACAGACAGCTTAAAGACAAGGAAGAGCATGAGCGCTCAGAAACAGCCCAACAACAGCCCTGGGGCATCATCCCAGGTGGTTCTCTGGGAACCATAAGCCTGCAAAATGTTTGTCCACAAAGGCTCATAAAACCCCACACAGCACTGTGAAGGACATGGAGAAGAAGCCAGGGTCCAGCCGGAAAGCACAGGGTCTTCGCCCCCAGGGTGCTCCATCCAGTGCCGGCCTGGCCCAGATGCTAGCAGCCCATCCATGAATCCCACACGTGGGGCCACGGAGGCCCAGTGACAGGAGGTGCCTTAGGTCTCCTGAAGAAGCATCAGGAAGGAAGCTCAGTTGCCCATGTGTGTCCCTGGCTCTGTTTCCCTGTGCTTTCCGGCTGGACTCTGGCTTCTTCCCCATGTCCTTTACGGTGCTGTGCAGGGTTTTATGAGCCTTTGTGGACAAACATCTTACAGGTTTACTGTTCCCAGAGAACCACCTGGGACGATGCCTCAGGGTTATTGCTGGGCTGTTTCCCTGCAGCGAGTGGGGACCCGAACAGCGAGTGACAGCCTACCTCTGGCAAAAGGGCACCTTTTCAGTGCTGTGTCCTCACTCCTCTAGCCCGTAGCAAAGATCTACTGAAGGTACCTGGTGTACGGGTGCTGGGCAGGGCATGAAGCTGAGTCTGGAAGTGGGATCTAGGCCCAAGGGAAGGCAGGCTGAGGATGGGGGTGGAAGCTCAGAGTAGGGACAGGAAGAGAGCAGGCAGCCTGAGGAGGCCCTGGGGGAAAGGGTCCACAGCCCCCGTGAGGTGACAGCGCTGGACAGGGCAGAGGCATGGGGGATCCTCGGGCAGCTCTGGAAGAGCTCTAATCCCTGAACTGCAAATGTAGCGTAGCTCTCACAAAGCCGCCAGCAGGCCTGGAGAGACAGAAACACTTACAGTTCCCTGCCGTTGCCCGACATCTTAAAGCCACCAAACGGAGCCTGTGCGTAGAGGGCATTGTAGCAGTTGATCCTAGAAAACAAAAGTGAAAACATGCTCACAATTCCCTGGAGAAGACCCAGCTGAATCCTGCTGGCTCCAGGGATCAGATGCTGAAGCACAAGGCCTAAACTATGGCCTTTTGATAAACATTCAATAGAAATCTGGGACCAGAATTGTGGAAAAAATTAAGTTTATGATCCGAGGCGCCACAGTAATCATAATACAGGGCTCTCTTACCTTCTGCTGTCTAATTCTCTATGACAGAAACTAAAATCTGAACCTACTTGTCTAGAGCTTCTCATTAAGATAGGGATGGAATGAGAGGGCAAGAGCAAAAGAAGAGAAAATATTAGGTATGGGACAATAGCCCTGAAGCGACAGAGATCGGACCTGCATGGTGGCCTGCCTCCTCCGCCATGTGACCCTACCCCTGCTGTTCAACTTCTCTGAGCCTCCATCCTTTCATCTTCCAGTGAGCATGACAATATGCAATCTGCAGAATGCTGCTGAGGCGGAGACTCTGATGCACACACTGCAGACGCACGTGCACTGAGTTTGGGTCAGAACCAGAAGCAAAGCCAGAGGGGCCGAGCAGCCCAGCGGGCCAAGAGCTCACACTCTGCACCCTGGGCTTTCACAAACAGCCAGCCCTTTAGGACCAAGCTCTGGTCCTCCGGCTCAACCAGCCTGCACAGAACACATTTGGAGGAGTGATTGCACTGAACAGGTACAGGATTTCTTCTCTACAGCTCCCCAAGTAATGGAGCGCAGAAACACCTCACATAGCATCCATCATGTTGTAAGTGTTCTAAGTCACTGAAAGGTAGCTAAAGTACCCACGCCCGAGTTCTGTGTGCATACTGTGGTATTTTACCTAAGGGGCGTGGGGACCTATGAATGGAGTCTCCAGGGGCCCTGGAGTCAGTCCCTGGGACATCAAGGGAGCAGAACACCACTTGTTACCCAGCCAGTTACCCAGCCTCTGTGTTCTGCTCTCTGCCCCTGTGAAGCGAGGTGCTTAACACCACAGGGTGGCATTAGGTGGTCATGAGGATCCCACAAAGCGCTCGAAGAGTGGGTGGCATGCAACATCCGATTAAGAAATGTGTTAATGGAAGATTCCAAAGCTGGTAAGAGAGCAAGTCAGAGTGAGACAAAACTCTACTCACCAGACTGTCCCCGACTCCAGCGCGGAAGCCAGCTTCAGGGCTTTGTCGAGGTCCTTTGTGAACACAGCTGCCGTGAGTCCATAGTCAGTGTTATTCGCTCTTTTTATCACTTCTTCAATGGTTTTGAACTTTAGTATGGGCTGCACTGGTCCAAAAATCTATCATTAATCACAAGAACAGCAGTGAGAAGTGTGTTGGGTGGACATGAAGGCTCAGAGTGGGTGTTTCTGTGGTTTTTTGCCTTTCACATATACCCAGAGCCCACGTGTGCGGGACGACAATGACTGGGTGAGAAAGATCACCGAACTTTTTTTTTTTTTTTTTTAATCTGTGTGATGGTTGAAATTTGAAAGGCAGAATTAAAATGAAAAAAAAAGAAAGAAAGAAAAACAACAACAAGAACAACAACAACAACAACAACAAAAAACACAACCCAACTATAAACTACACTGTGTTTCCCATCCCTTGCTGTCAATAGGGTTTCTGAGAACATCAGCCTGAGAGCGCTGGGGAGAACCATCTGAGGATACCAAGAAGGCAAAACTTCTGGGTAATGTTTTGGAATGTTGCCTCCGAAGGCATTCACAGGTAGGGCTGTAGAACGGTGCACTCTGACCCCCGGGTCTTTTGCACCTACCAGGACAAAAGAACCAGGTCTTCCCTGCTTTCCTTTTGGGTGTTAAACTGTGAACCCACGGGACATGGAAACTTGTCAGAGCATGCTCAGTGGTGCCTCCCAGGACCTAACCACCCAGCCCTGGGCTCTTGTCTTACAAATCCCGGGGCAGGGCGGGAGGGCTGACGGGAAATAGCTTCCATCTGCTTCACAGTAGACTTGATAGACAAAGGTCAATTTATACTCTCAGGAGGTCTCCTTAATTTGCATGATTCGCAAGGACACCCATGATGGAAAACACAATAAGAATCCTAGCTGTGACACATTTTTGAGTATTTCTCTTTTAAGGTGACCCTGAGGGGACTGAGGCTATCCCTGGTGTGAACCCAGAGCTTGATCCCTGGCACAGCCCACTGGGAGCCACGGCTCTCTATGCCCTGCTGTATGATGAACTCAGGGAAGGGAGTCCTGCCCCCAGAGACCGGGAGAAAGCAGTGGAAATGGCGCCCTGAACTAACTTTGTGCAGTCGCTGGGGTTTACCAAAGACTCGTGGTGAGACGGTGCTCCTGTGGACCCCCAGGGATAGGGGAAACACTACACAGAAAAAGAAAGCCCACCCTACGAAGACTTCTGGGTTCCCTGGTCTCTAGGGGACAGCATTTTGGAGGGTCCTTGGGCCACAGCTTTGGCTGCAGCCATACCTACCTCCTCCTTGGCAATCCGCATGTTATCGGTAACCTCCGAGAAGACCGTGGGTTTGATGAAGAGTCCCCGGTCTTCCATGGCCGAGCCTCCACATTCCAGCGTGGCCCCTTCTTTCTTCCCACTCTCAATCAGCTCAAGGATTTTGTCAAACTGTTTTTGATCAATCTGCAAAATGTGGAAGGAAGCATGGTCAACTTCCTGGGCCAACGGCTGCCAGGAGGCAATTTTCAGCAGCCTTCCCCAGCACCGTTGGTCACCCTGCCTTGTGTGTGCTTGCCGAGTCCTACATCGTGGAATGAGTGTGTCCTGAGGCAGATATTCCTCAGATGCACAGATCTGGCTTCTCTGAGGAGGAAAGGCAAGGGAGGACAAGCTATGCTCACTCTCGCCAGGACTGGGGTTCATTCCTGTGTTTGATTCTATTTTCCGAGCTGAGATGCCAGTCCAAGATGTACCAGGAAGTGGTCACATTCTTTGCTCTCTCAGTTCTTTGCATCCTGCTAGGATTGTTGCATTTAGCAAATAAAGGTGCAAGATGGCTACCTAACCTTGAATCTCAGGAGAATAACATGATTTTGAGCATATGTATATCCCAAGTACTATATGAGATACACTCTATGCTACAAATGCCATCATTGTCTATCTGAAATGTAAGTCTAACAGTGTCCTGTATTTTAGCCGCACCTGGCACCCTGGCTCCATGGATTGGAGGAAACAAGGAGGAAAGGAGAACTGGAGTTCTCCTTTCATAGTTCTGAGGGGAACTGAGCAGGAAAGTGGGTCACCTTGAGGGACTTGAGCCAGTGGGGGGGTCAGATCATCAGAAAGGCTCTATCTTTGCTACCTTGCCTGGGGGTCTCCCTGGCTGGACTGTGCCCTGTACTACAGCCTCATACCTAGTTGGGGGAAAACTGTTCAGTCTCCCCTTTAGGAGACTGCTGACTGGCACAGTGTGCTTTCTGGCCGCTCTCCCAGCCTCCCTCTTACAATCGTGGGAGCCCTGTCCTTTACCATGCCCTGTTGGCAGTGCTCCTCCTCTGGGTGGGGGGGGGGAGAAGAGACAGAGCTTTAATAAGGCTTACTGTCACCGTGACTTTTAGACAGGAGGGCTGGTTTAATTTTAATCATATAAAAAATAGTAAGCAAATCTCATTGGTGCATTTGGATGACTGTATGTCCCTGAGACACAGGCTGGCTTTCTTGGAAGGGGAGGGTCCAAACCACGTATGTCACTTGACCGATCAACCCATGGTCCACAGATCCAATTTAGCCAATCCATGTCTTATACCTTATTCCAAGACAAGTCTAAATAGATCAAAGATGTAACCCTGACAAATGAAACCATAACATTCCTTTATGGGGGAGACTGCTCTTACAAACTTGTCTTCTCTATGACTTAAAGTATGGAAGACAAAAAAAAAAAAAAAGTTAATGCATTTGAAAATGCTTTTAAAAAAGGGTGGGTGATATAGCTTAGTGGTAGAATGCCCATTCACATGTGTGAGACCAGGTGTTCAATTCCCAGAAGAAGAAAGGAAAAAATAAAAGAGGTAGTCATGTAGCAAAGTCACCATAAGCAAAGTCATAGGGCAAAGCGACCCACTGAAAACCTATTAATGAATCATATCGAAAACTAATCTTCGCAGTATGTACTAAAGCATCTTAGAAGTGACAAGAAAAGTGACCAACAGTATAAGAGGAAATCACGAAAAGCCAATATTCATTTGATTGAAAAAGAAACACAAATGTCTTTTAAGCATAAGATAATGTATTCTATCTTCAACACCTAGGAAGGTAGAATGTATATTACAATTAAATGATATCATTTTAAACTCTCAGATGAAAAAGAATTCATATTCTGTTGATAATGCTGGAGAAACAGACAACCTATACAATGCTGCTAGGAACATAGTATAAATTAGTTCATCCTCTATGACAGGCATCCCTAACCTATGGCCTTTCTCCAGTACCATGCGTCCCTAACCTATGGCCTTTCTCCAGTACCATGCACACTAACCTATGGCCTTTCTCCAGTACCATGCGTCCCTAACCTATGGCCTTTCTCCAGTACCATGCGTCCCTAACCTATGGCCTTTCACCAGTACCATGCGTCCCTAGCCTATGGCCTTTCTCCAGTACCATGCG